AGGGGCACGGTCCCTGCCCTGCTCCTGCTGGCCACACCACTCCTGGTACACACGGTCATACCCGTGCCTGCCGAGCAGGGCTGGGGCCGCAGCAGAAGCCCCGGTGGCTGCCAGGGGAGGTCACAGAGGCAAAGCCTCAGCCCCACCACAGCCAGCAGTGAGGAGCCACCACTGCTGCGAAGCAGTCAAGCGTGCTGCTGCCCAGTGAGGAGCATCCCTGTGCAGTGGGACCCAGGCTGAGACCACCCGAAAGCCGACCCCTTCCCACCTTTCTCTTCGATTTCGTGCTTCAGGATCTCCAGGTCCATCGTGAGATATTCCACCTTCTCCTTCAGGGAGTCCACCTCCTGCTGCAGGGACTCTGCTCGCTCTTCTGCCATCTCCTTGTCCAGGGTGGCCATTTCAATCGCGTCAGCGGTGTCTGCCATCTCCTCCATGTAGCGCTCCTTGGCTTCCAAGGCATCTTTGGCTTCCTGTGGTTGAGGACACGTGAGTGAGAAGACCCTGGAAGCCCAAGGCCAGCGATGGAGAGCCCCCTCTCACAAACAACGAGCCTCGGGCAATTACGTCTGTGGCAGGAGGATCAAGTCCAATTAACAGCAGCTTATCTGGGCTCAGGGTGCCCGTCCCCGCTCCCTAAGGCCTCTCCCCTGCTTCACACCTTCTCCCATCCACAAAAGAGCCCAGCAGAAAAGCAATCTGCAGGCGAGGAGAGACAGATCTGAAGACAGAAAAGACGTAGGCTTGTGCTGGAGCAGGCAGTCGAATAAATCACTGGGGAAAGAAACCGAGAGTCCACCCTGGAGAGCCAGGGCAGAGAGAAGCAAAAGCTCCTCTGCCAGCATGGCCGGCGTCCTGCCATCCGCCCGGGAGCAGCGGGCAGGGGTGCCAAGGGCCCAGACCCCATCCCCGGGGAGAGGGGGCAGAGGGAGAGGGGTAACCTGCCGCGGGCGTTCCAGCTGACGCCCAAAGGCAGAGCAGAAACGTTCCCGATACCGAGCGACGCTGAGATTCCGGTGCTCCGAAGCCCCGTGGCTGGGGCTGGCAGCGGCTCAAGCAGCCGGCCCTGCGGGGCAGGAGCTCGGCACGCGTTCGTTTGGCTAAAGGGAAGTGAGCTTCAACAGACTAAAGTCTGGATTAGAAAGTCAGGGGCAGGACCCCCCGGGAAGCCACCGGAGAGGGGAACCCGCTCCAGAGCCGGCCAGGAAAGACACGGGGTGCGGGGCAGGGAGGACTCGCGCGCCCGGCGCCGGCGGGGGCTGAGGTGGGCTCGTGCACCCCCAAGCCAGCCGCTCCTGTCCCGCACATCCCCAGGGACGCAGACTCCAAACGCCCCTGAGCACCCCGCTCCAGTGTTTGATCACCTGCACAGGGAAAAGGGGTTTGCTTACGTTTAAACCGAATTCCCTGCATTTTGGTTTGTGCCCCTTTCTCCTCGTACTGTTGGTGGGCACCACGGAGAAGAGTCTGGCTCCATCTCCTTTCCTTCCCCCACCAGGTACCTGTACACAGCACCGAGGCCCCTCACCCCCCAGCCTCCCAGACACCCATCATGACATGCTGAGCTTGGATGGGGACCCTCGCCCCCCCAGACACCCATCACAGCGTGCGGAGTTTGGATGGGGACCCTCGCCCCCCCAGCATCCCCAGGCACCCATCACAGCGTGCTGAGCTTGGATGGGGACCCTTGCCCCCCCAGCCTCCCAGACACCCGTCATGACATGCTGAGCTTGGATGGGGACCCTCGCCCCCCCAGCCTCCCCAGACGCCCATCACAGCGTGCCGAGCTCAGACAGGGCTCCAGAGGACCGGATCCTCAAACCACTGTCCAAGAACCGCCCTGAGAAGCTCCAGCTGGCTGCAGCCCAGCTCCCAAACAGACTCCATGCTGATTACAGCATGACCAAGCTAAAGCTTGTATTAATGCTGCATTTAAACTGAAACCACGTCGGGAAGCTGCTGCTCTAAGCCGTGACTACCACGAGCACAGGAACACACCACTCGCTTGCCGAGACCGCGGCTCTAACGCATGGCAGCAGTGGGAGGAAGGACAAGCTGCTGCTTTGCACGCGCTGGAGGGTCAAAGACAAGCGCAGGGCAAAAAAAGCCCCCATGATGCAGGTGTGGCAGTTGTAAAAAACGTTCGAGACATCCAGGCACCAGGAAAGCTTGGGGGAGATGAACAGGTCCCGCAGCGGCACCAGTGAGCCCCGTCCTACGGGGCTGGCTCCCCTGGCTGGATCGGGAACCTCAATACGCAGCAATGCTCCCAAAGCTGCTGGAGTCCTCTCATTTTTGATGTCAGCTGCAAGGTCTCCAGGAGCTTTGCTTAGGCTTTTGAAGGTGGGACTGGCAGTTTATCGGCAGGTTTGGAGTTGGAATG